TTGGCTTTGGTCGGGGAGAATAAAATAAAGCTGGTGGTGAAATAAAAATGAAAAATAAAACATTAAGGTCACCGAAATCGGTTTTAAATTATAAGCACTAAGGGCGTTTTTTATGGGTTATACCGTTACTATACTGGGGTGACTGGTGCGCAGATTGAAACCCTCAACCTATTGCAGAGTGTAAATATACGACTTACCCGACCTCATTTGAGATTAGACCTGCTTGGATTTCTTAAACACTCTAAAAGGGGAGCAAATTTTGAATGTTAAGTGGTATTTTTTAAATTGTACTTCTCAAGTCATAAATTATAACAAAAGGTAAAAATAGTTTCTTCTAAGAAGTATATTTAAGTGCTGCACATAGTGTGCAAACCGCGCTCTATTTCAAACCAAAATGGCCAAAATCGAAATCCTATTTTGAGACAAAAACAACACAGTTAAGTCATTTGAGACAGTACATACCTTTATTATTTTTAAAAGGGAATATTCGCTGGTTTGGTTCTTTTGGGCATTTTTCTGTTTTTCCCAAAAGTAAACATCCTGTAGATTACCCTGTGTGCTTGCCAGTGGAGGAAATAACATAACAGGCAGCATGAACTGAAATATGCCAAGTTCTAGTTTGAATCGATTTCTTTGAGATTGCAGCGTATAAGGGTCAGAAATCCTGATTTTGTTAAAATACGAAAATAAGATGTTTTCGTGTAAAATTTTGATTTTCTTCGTGCGTGCTGTTCAGATACGATAGACAAGATTCTGCCTCGTTGACATGCTTTACTTTACGCATTCACTTGTCGCTTGTTTTCTGTTCCATCACTTGGAAAAAAAAAGATATTTAGCACATAACTAAATGATGGCAAGATAAGATGAGGATAAATGGAGAGTGGCTTCGATCGGCGGTTAAAACTATCGCAAGAAATGTTTTGAAAAACTTATATTTTGAATCTGCGAAAATTGGTTGTTTTTTTTGTGCATAATATATTAAACATTTAACGATACTACCGTGACCGATTGTTGACCACCTGCATTTTTTGAATACGTTCTGTGAAAGCCCCTTAGCCCCTTGCCTCATCTCAGGACGTTTACTTCCTCATATTCAATAAATATGGTATGGAAACCGTGAACATCGAGGCGTTCTCGCCATTTCATAGCACTTAAAGCACGTGCCATTTCCAGTTCGGTATCATATTATATTTACGAAACTGTGCTATAGGCCATATCTCATGAGTGAAGAAGAATCGGGAAGCGGTGAGTTTTCTTCAAGGTGGGGGACTTTCAAAATATAGTTTTTAATAAATGTCAGTATGAGTGCGGTGAAATCAAAAGGTTTTAGTTTATGAGAACAACAAATAAAATGCACACACGCAGCCTTGGAGCGCTGTTAAAGAACATCATTATTTGTTATTCAAGGTGCGTCCAAAAAGCTTACATACAAAGTTATAAGAGAGTAAGAAAGGAACATCCAGCCCCGACCACTGAGGAACATTGAGACATAAAAAGAGCTAGTTTAGATAATATAAATATACGATAATGGCTTACATTCTGAAATTTGCAACGGGACAAACTTGAAGACACGCGCAAGGCGAAATTGCGGTTTGTTCAAATATTTGGAGAGACAAATGTGAACATATGAATGGAAGTCAGGGGGTGATAAATTTGGTAAAAGCTAAGTAAACTAGTTTTACCAATACTAGCTTAACGATTGCCGCCGTATAATGCCAATCAAATGATATAGTGTAGATGAGAAATAGCTAACTCTAGAAGAGTGTAATTAAAGCCTTTTAAAAGCTGTTTTTATCGTGTCTGGCCATCTTAACTACAAAAGCCGAAGAATGTGCATAGATATAGTTATTTTATTATTTTCTCAAGGTTGGCTATTATGCTATTTCATAACAAACGGCCCGTTGGTTATTTGACTGATTGTATGGTATATATTTACTTATCAGTCAAACTTTGTATTTTCAATAGCTTAGTAAAACAATTTCATGGCCTGAATCTACCTCCTTAGTGGCTTGGCTATTGACGATAATTAAACGCCAAAAATCGACCTCCGAATTTATGATTATCTAATTATCTTCATTGCTTGGTTATTCTGCAATTCCATCTCAAAAGTTACGTAGTTATTATTCTATTCACAATATAATCCTCAATCTCTCTATCTGTTAGCTAACCTGAAGCCTTCAAAGAGGAAGAAGACACCAACTTGTAGCTATTGGGAATTTTAATTAGCTCACTAGTGAGTTTCTTTGGAACTTTCGTCCGCACTGTCTACTAACAACCGAAACAGAGGACTTAGTGCTAAGAACTTGGAACTGTCAATCAATGTCAAACAATAGTCAAAATACCGCTTTTTCGAACAAAAGGTTTTGCGCAGAAAGTAGCTAGTGTGAACGAACCAGAATAGTTTTCTTGATTTCCTTCGTCGAGGAATACCTTGTCAAGATGCTTTTTTTTCGTAACCGTTTACGACAAAAACTACGGGTGAGCAATTTGGAGAAAAAGGGCTGGAATTCACTCACAAGTTCCCCCTTTATCCATAAATTGCTTACAAGATGTTTATAAGCTTAAAAGCGGAAATTAAACCAATAATGTGGCAAAAGGTTCTAGACGGGTAGTAAAAATAATAACTTTAACATTCAAAAGCTTTTTCATACAAGTTCACAGGAAACGCCTTTCGTATCTATGGATATTTCAGTAACTCTGTGGTGGTGCTTTTCTGTTATTTCATAACACACGTGCCCTAGGTCATTTGACTTGTTGGGTGGTAAAAAAAACTTCAACGCTCAATATTTCTGAAAGTGTAACTATAGTTATTTTACTACCCTCTAAAACTTCAACGATCTGTTATTTCACTGCGGGCTTGCTATTGGTTGATTGAATGTAACAAAGTAAAGAACCAATCATGAGCTTGGAGCTGATTGACTTATCAATTCTCCACGCAAAAGAAAGAAAACCTCTCAGGTTTGTGTGAGGAGAAAATGGTTTTAATGTAAAGCAGTGATGGAAGGGTTTATAAACCACGGACTCTTCAGTTTTTGTTCAAAGTCCTACCTATAACGTTCGGTTCCAAGACTAAACAATGGTAGCGTTGAAGTTCCTTGCGGTTTTTTTGCCTGGTGTATTTCACCGTTTTCGTAAATGCTGGTAGAAACCCAAAGTGTTGCGAGAGTGTCCTACAAAAGTTAAAGACGATGGAATGCCCAAGTCATGGTACATTAAGAAATGTCTCCTACCTTGCCAACGCATCGAACGGTTTAAATCTGCCGTTTTGCGTCATTCTTATTCTCTAAATAGTGAACAGTGACTTACGTAGCTGTGTTTTTTATGATCTCAGTACACCTCATAAGAAATTACTAAACAATTTTACTGTCTTCTATTTACGTAGAGTCGCACACCTGTGAACACCATGGTCCAAGTTCATGCAAAGAGATCTTTGATAAAGATAAGTAAGTTATAGAGAAATTATGCACAAACTACGATCTGAAGCTGGCTGGCAACTGGTTGTAGCATTTTTTCAGCACCTCTTACTTTGATAGACCAGTATTACAGTTGTTGCAGTTGCAGTTAACGCTACAATAATGAAACCAAACAAATAACCAAACATCGGTGCACAAGGTATAATACCGGTTAAAAAAAAACCTTTAATTATATTGGAGAGCGGCTGTTTATAAATATGGAGAATCCGGCGACAGTACAGAAAATTCGAATTTTCTTTTATTTCTACAAAAAGACTTTTATATCACGGCATGTGTTTTATCAAAAAACAGGGCCATCTATCAAGGATGTTCTCAAGCACGAGCTTTGCTTGAAACCTATTTTAATTGACAACAACTTTTTTTGGTTGCTCAATCTGACAACAGGTAGCTGGTACAACCTTCACCAACGGAAAATCACGTGTGAACAATGCCTTGACATAAATTACATTATGTCTAGTCATAATGTCTGCTCTTTTGGTCTTAAAGGTACAGTGAGTATAATTTTTTTGTGAAATCTAGAGCAATCCGAAATACCGGTCGATCAACCAAGGTGGCGATGGAATTTACAGAAAATAAAATAAAGTATTTTTAACAGTCTAATACACAAAGATGGAAACTTGTCGCGATGCAATGCACCCTTGGATCTTTTTTTCTAAATTAAAAATCAGGTTGAAGTAATAACGTTTTGTTTATTTTTAAACCATTTGAAAATTTCATCTACATGCATATATACATAAACTTTATTTCTATTCAAACTGATTTGACAAGGCCATGACTTCTCTGGTAAATCAATATATCGATAAATAGGAGGTTCTAAAATGGAGAGCTATTCTATAAGTTAACCGAGAAGAGCATTTTGACGATTTTTAGACGACTTAGCGATAATTCGATTATGTAATACACTTTATTAACATAATTAATCTTGTGGTATCAGAAATTGTTCTTAGGTAATAAAACTGGAGGTTAAAAAATTTTAAAAAAAGGCATGAGGCACCGAACTCGTTTTTTAGTTGGAAGCACTTAAAGAAAAAATTATGGGTTTTTTTAAACTAGTTATTCTGTTACTATGGTAACCTTTTGCGTACCAAAAACAACCACAACTTACTAACCAATGATTGGCAATTTTTTGATAACATAATAATAATAATAATAATAATAATAGTAATAATAATGATAACAATTCATTTACATGGCGCACAGAGCCATTATTTGCCCGAGGCGCTTTAAAAAAACTATCCCTAAAAACTACAATTTTACTCTAAAAAAACTTAAAAACTAAAAAAAAAATAGGAAAATACCAAATACCTATGATAAAGAGTTATTCTTAATAAATTTAGTAAAAAAGGAAGGTCTTGAGTTATTTGGTATCAACTTTCAAAAACCGTAGCAATGATTCATCAAAGAACTGAAATATGCTAAAACACGTTGCGAGCCAGTTTGTATTTCATTCATTTGGCTATAATTATAAAAACTGAAACATTTTTTGATTCGCTTTGATTTTCAAGGCCAACCGAAAACAAGGCATACATGCTCGAGTTTGGTTACAAGAAGCTTCCTGTCTACTGCTACATGGATGGTGATGACCTTGGTGATTGTGGAGGCGGAGGATGGACGCTGGTCATGAAAATTGACGGCTCAAAGGTACGTTTTAAGAACTTATATCACAAACAGACCTCAAAACAATCACATTTTTAAGCTAAGAAGTTAACTAAAAGCACTATTTGACCTGGGAATTTTGTTACGCTAGTTTATACTTTCAGATTGGCAGTTTTCTTTACATTTGGATTTTTGAATCAAAGTAATGGTCGAAGTGTGATCTCTACTTTTTAAAAAATATACATATATTGAAAAATACTAAAAATTGGCAGAGTTTCCCTTTTGATTGACAGCCTATGACAGGTATGCAATCAAAAGAGACAAATTTTACGGGAATTACACGGATGTCGAGAGTTGGCTACTCAGTTGATCAGCATTGTTCTTCTGACTACTGTACCAAGCATGTTTCTTATTAGGTGTTATTCGTTCAAGTTATAAGAAAACATGGACCACGTAAATGTCAGTGGACCAGTTCAATGAGTGAAGAAGCGAAAGTTGGCCTTGCGGCGTTAGATTAAGGATCGTACTATCAAAAGTGGTCTGACAATACTGACTCCGAGTTAGATGAAGCGAAAGCTATTGGATCAAGCGGACAAAAACAATCGAGTCAAGAGGAGAGAAAAGTTCCGTGAAAATTTGGGTTTTAATTTGATGACGAGAGCATCGACTGGTTGACAGCGCTGAGTCCGATACCGACGAATCATCGGAACCATTCACTGAAATAATTGAATACAATTGCTCCGCCGTGCTTTCCTTTGTTTGTTTTCTTCGCACAGCCACCTTAATTCGCATCCTTTTTTGTCTCTTCCCCAAATTGCTAAACCGCTTAGGGAATAATGCAAATCACGAGGGTTTTTTAGATATTCGTACTAAAATTTCACCAGGAGGCTAATGGAAGTAAAACTTTCCAAGCACTGAATGGCTCAGTGATCTGAAAACCCAGTTGAATGTGATTGTGGGCGGAGTTTGTTTGCGAAGCTAGATATTTTTCTTAGTGCTGTTTTCTCGAATCAATTTTGTCGCTTGAAGGAGACGCTTTAAGGAGATATAACTCAAAGGGAATTTGTTCGGTTGCCCTCAAATTTGGACAGAAGCTAGTTTAACTCAAAAACAACACAAACCTGTCTTCGAATTGTTTATTTTGATATTTTTTTTCTCTGAGAGTGATTTTTGTACGATCACTCCAAATTTGTTTACTTCTATTTCGAAAATTTTCAGTAACTTTTCATCACAAAGGCAGATTTGCACGTTGTCGTCATTTGACTACAACTACCAGAATTCCATTCGTTTTTTCTTTGTTAAATTTTGAATTCCCAGTGGGGTTTAAATAACAATTGCCCTAATTAGCATAAGAAGCAGAAAAAGTGAAGGATTCTGGTGGTAGTTGTAGTCAAATGACGCCATCATGCAAATCGCCTATTGAATATGGCAAAACACAGACACTTTTTTTTTTTCGCGCTTTGGGTCCGGAAACTGAGGAACGAACTAAATTGGCGACAAACAAAATTTGCTTTGACTTACAGCTTTCAAACGGTGATTCGGGCGCTCGTATTTACTGGTCGTGAAAAAAATTTGACCATTTATTTCATTCCAAAATTCTTGGTAAAGTCTGACAGCCAGTTCTATAAGCTTTAATTTGGTATATGGGTTTAATTAGGTATCTACAGCTTAAACCGGACGCGCTACATCGCTTGGACGAGGGACACCTCTGAAGCTAGATGGTATTCTTAATTCAAATCCTAGAACACATATACAGTTGTAAACCTTTCTTTTATCAGAGTAACCTAATAGCAGGTTGGCAGAAACGTGGCTATTCAACTAAGACTTTTATGATTGCTCTTACTCAATTTCTTTCTGGAAAGATTTTAAATTACATCACTTATCTTTGACAAAACAGCAGATACACCTTAGTTTGAAGGATATTCTAATTAAAGAACTTCCAAATATAGAAAGTTCAACTTAAAGTTGAATTGAAGCTTGAGACAGAAGAGTACATCTGTACAAAAAATAATACCTTAGGTATATTTAAGAAGAAATGGGCAACGTAACTACTTAGAAGTTTTTGAGTGAATAAGATGTCAGGCTCGTGCGCGAGTGTGTGTATATGGGGGAGAGTTAGGGTGTAAACTGAAGAAATGTAAGTAATTTTACTTAGGTATAATAAAGTATTGTCAGTAATGTAAGTATGTGAGTAAGTGAGTTAAGGCGTAAACTGAAGTAATGTAAGTAATTTTATTTAGGTATAGTAAAGTATCGTGAGTAATGTAAGTATATGAGTGAGTGAGTTAAGGCGTGAACTGAAGTAATGTAAGTAATGTTAGTTATTTGTAGTAGATTACTGCTAGTGATGTAACTAATTTGTACTGAAAGTAATGTAAGTAATTATCTGTTTTTCAAAAAAAAAAAAGTTTAAGAGATGAGTGCAACTATATCTTAACTGACGTAATGTGTAAGGAATTATCACCATGTTTGGGCACTATCAAAAATTCTTGACTAAGTCTTGGCTAAATAGGTTGAATTGCTCCGAATAGTTCATTTGCTTAATTGTGNTGGCAAGATAAGATGAGGATAAATGGAGAGTGGCTTCGATCGGCGGTTAAAACTATCGCAAGAAATGTTTTGAAAAACTTATATTTTGAATCTGCGAAAATTGGTTGTTTTTTTTGTGCATAATATATTAAACATTTAACGATACTACCGTGACCGATTGTTGACCACCTGCATTTTTTGAATACGTTCTGTGAAAGCCCCTTAGCCCCTTGCCTCATCTCAGGACGTTTACTTCCTCATATTCAATAAATATGGTATGGAAACCGTGAACATCGAGGCGTTCTCGCCATTTCATAGCACTTAAAGCACGTGCCATTTCCAGTTCGGTATCATATTATATTTACGAAACTGTGCTATAGGCCATATCTCATGAGTGAAGAAGAATCGGGAAGCGGTGAGTTTTCTTCAAGGTGGGGGACTTTCAAAATATAGTTTTTAATAAATGTCAGTATGAGTGCGGTGAAATCAAAAGGTTTTAGTTTATGAGAACAACAAATAAAATGCACACACGCAGCCTTGGAGCGCTGTTAAAGAACATCATTATTTGTTATTCAAGGTGCGTCCAAAAAGCTTACATACAAAGTTATAAGAGAGTAAGAAAGGAACATCCAGCCCCGACCACTGAGGAACATTGAGACATAAAAAGAGCTAGTTTAGATAATATAAATATACGATAATGGCTTACATTCTGAAATTTGCAACGGGACAAACTTGAAGACACGCGCAAGGCGAAATTGCGGTTTGTTCAAATATTTGGAGAGACAAATGTGAACATATGAATGGAAGTCAGGGGGTGATAAATTTGGTAAAAGCTAAGTAAACTAGTTTTACCAATACTAGCTTAACGATTGCCGCCGTATAATGCCAATCAAATGATATAGTGTAGATGAGAAATAGCTAACTCTAGAAGAGTGTAATTAAAGCCTTTTAAAAGCTGTTTTTATCGTGTCTGGCCATCTTAACTACAAAAGCCGAAGAATGTGCATAGATATAGTTATTTTATTATTTTCTCAAGGTTGGCTATTATGCTATTTCATAACAAACGGCCCGTTGGTTATTTGACTGATTGTATGGTATATATTTACTTATCAGTCAAACTTTGTATTTTCAATAGCTTAGTAAAACAATTTCATGGCCTGAATCTACCTCCTTAGTGGCTTGGCTATTGACGATAATTAAACGCCAAAAATCGACCTCCGAATTTATGATTATCTAATTATCTTCATTGCTTGGTTATTCTGCAATTCCATCTCAAAAGTTACGTAGTTATTATTCTATTCACAATATAATCCTCAATCTCTCTATCTGTTAGCTAACCTGAAGCCTTCAAAGAGGAAGAAGACACCAACTTGTAGCTATTGGGAATTTTAATTAGCTCACTAGTGAGTTTCTTTGGAACTTTCGTCCGCACTGTCTACTAACAACCGAAACAGAGGACTTAGTGCTAAGAACTTGGAACTGTCAATCAATGTCAAACAATAGTCAAAATACCGCTTTTTCGAACAAAAGGTTTTGCGCAGAAAGTAGCTAGTGTGAACGAACCAGAATAGTTTTCTTGATTTCCTTCGTCGAGGAATACCTTGTCAAGATGCTTTTTTTTCGTAACCGTTTACGACAAAAACTACGGGTGAGCAATTTGGAGAAAAAGGGCTGGAATTCACTCACAAGTTCCCCCTTTATCCATAAATTGCTTACAAGATGTTTATAAGCTTAAAAGCGGAAATTAAACCAATAATGTGGCAAAAGGTTCTAGACGGGTAGTAAAAATAATAACTTTAACATTCAAAAGCTTTTTCATACAAGTTCACAGGAAACGCCTTTCGTATCTATGGATATTTCAGTAACTCTGTGGTGGTGCTTTTCTGTTATTTCATAACACACGTGCCCTAGGTCATTTGACTTGTTGGGTGGTAAAAAAAACTTCAACGCTCAATATTTCTGAAAGTGTAACTATAGTTATTTTACTACCCTCTAAAACTTCAACGATCTGTTATTTCACTGCGGGCTTGCTATTGGTTGATTGAATGTAACAAAGTAAAGAACCAATCATGAGCTTGGAGCTGATTGACTTATCAATTCTCCACGCAAAAGAAAGAAAACCTCTCAGGTTTGTGTGAGGAGAAAATGGTTTTAATGTAAAGCAGTGATGGAAGGGTTTATAAACCACGGACTCTTCAGTTTTTGTTCAAAGTCCTACCTATAACGTTCGGTTCCAAGACTAAACAATGGTAGCGTTGAAGTTCCTTGCGGTTTTTTTGCCTGGTGTATTTCACCGTTTTCGTAAATGCTGGTAGAAACCCAAAGTGTTGCGAGAGTGTCCTACAAAAGTTAAAGACGATGGAATGCCCAAGTCATGGTACATTAAGAAATGTCTCCTACCTTGCCAACGCATCGAACGGTTTAAATCTGCCGTTTTGCGTCATTCTTATTCTCTAAATAGTGAACAGTGACTTACGTAGCTGTGTTTTTTATGATCTCAGTACACCTCATAAGAAATTACTAAACAATTTTACTGTCTTCTATTTACGTAGAGTCGCACACCTGTGAACACCATGGTCCAAGTTCATGCAAAGAGATCTTTGATAAAGATAAGTAAGTTATAGAGAAATTATGCACAAACTACGATCTGAAGCTGGCTGGCAACTGGTTGTAGCATTTTTTCAGCACCTCTTACTTTGATAGACCAGTATTACAGTTGTTGCAGTTGCAGTTAACGCTACAATAATGAAACCAAACAAATAACCAAACATCGGTGCACAAGGTATAATACCGGTTAAAAAAAAACCTTTAATTATATTGGAGAGCGGCTGTTTATAAATATGGAGAATCCGGCGACAGTACAGAAAATTCGAATTTTCTTTTATTTCTACAAAAAGACTTTTATATCACGGCATGTGTTTTATCAAAAAACAGGGCCATCTATCAAGGATGTTCTCAAGCACGAGCTTTGCTTGAAACCTATTTTAATTGACAACAACTTTTTTTGGTTGCTCAATCTGACAACAGGTAGCTGGTACAACCTTCACCAACGGAAAATCACGTGTGAACAATGCCTTGACATAAATTACATTATGTCTAGTCATAATGTCTGCTCTTTTGGTCTTAAAGGTACAGTGAGTATAATTTTTTTGTGAAATCTAGAGCAATCCGAAATACCGGTCGATCAACCAAGGTGGCGATGGAATTTACAGAAAATAAAATAAAGTATTTTTAACAGTCTAATACACAAAGATGGAAACTTGTCGCGATGCAATGCACCCTTGGATCTTTTTTTCTAAATTAAAAATCAGGTTGAAGTAATAACGTTTTGTTTATTTTTAAACCATTTGAAAATTTCATCTACATGCATATATACATAAACTTTATTTCTATTCAAACTGATTTGACAAGGCCATGACTTCTCTGGTAAATCAATATATCGATAAATAGGAGGTTCTAAAATGGAGAGCTATTCTATAAGTTAACCGAGAAGAGCATTTTGACGATTTTTAGACGACTTAGCGATAATTCGATTATGTAATACACTTTATTAACATAATTAATCTTGTGGTATCAGAAATTGTTCTTAGGTAATAAAACTGGAGGTTAAAAAATTTTAAAAAAAGGCATGAGGCACCGAACTCGTTTTTTAGTTGGAAGCACTTAAAGAAAAAATTATGGGTTTTTTTAAACTAGTTATTCTGTTACTATGGTAACCTTTTGCGTACCAAAAACAACCACAACTTACTAACCAATGATTGGCAATTTTTTGATAACATAATAATAATAATAATAATAATAATAGTAATAATAATGATAACAATTCATTTACATGGCGCACAGAGCCATTATTTGCCCGAGGCGCTTTAAAAAAACTATCCCTAAAAACTACAATTTTACTCTAAAAAAACTTAAAAACTAAAAAAAAAATAGGAAAATACCAAATACCTATGATAAAGAGTTATTCTTAATAAATTTAGTAAAAAAGGAAGGTCTTGAGTTATTTGGTATCAACTTTCAAAAACCGTAGCAATGATTCATCAAAGAACTGAAATATGCTAAAACACGTTGCGAGCCAGTTTGTATTTCATTCATTTGGCTATAATTATAAAAACTGAAACATTTTTTGATTCGCTTTGATTTTCAAGGCCAACCGAAAACAAGGCATACATGCTCGAGTTTGGTTACAAGAAGCTTCCTGTCTACTGCTACATGGATGGTGATGACCTTGGTGATTGTGGAGGCGGAGGATGGACGCTGGTCATGAAAATTGACGGCTCAAAGGTACGTTTTAAGAACTTATATCACAAACAGACCTCAAAACAATCACATTTTTAAGCTAAGAAGTTAACTAAAAGCACTATTTGACCTGGGAATTTTGTTACGCTAGTTTATACTTTCAGATTGGCAGTTTTCTTTACATTTGGATTTTTGAATCAAAGTAATGGTCGAAGTGTGATCTCTACTTTTTAAAAAATATACATATATTGAAAAATACTAAAAATTGGCAGAGTTTCCCTTTTGATTGACAGCCTATGACAGGTATGCAATCAAAAGAGACAAATTTTACGGGAATTACACGGATGTCGAGAGTTGGCTACTCAGTTGATCAGCATTGTTCTTCTGACTACTGTACCAAGCATGTTTCTTATTAGGTGTTATTCGTTCAAGTTATAAGAAAACATGGACCACGTAAATGTCAGTGGACCAGTTCAATGAGTGAAGAAGCGAAAGTTGGCCTTGCGGCGTTAGATTAAGGATCGTACTATCAAAAGTGGTCTGACAATACTGACTCCGAGTTAGATGAAGCGAAAGCTATTGGATCAAGCGGACAAAAACAATCGAGTCAAGAGGAGAGAAAAGTTCCGTGAAAATTTGGGTTTTAATTTGATGACGAGAGCATCGACTGGTTGACAGCGCTGAGTCCGATACCGACGAATCATCGGAACCATTCACTGAAATAATTGAATACAATTGCTCCGCCGTGCTTTCCTTTGTTTGTTTTCTTCGCACAGCCACCTTAATTCGCATCCTTTTTTGTCTCTTCCCCAAATTGCTAAACCGCTTAGGGAATAATGCAAATCACGAGGGTTTTTTAGATATTCGTACTAAAATTTCACCAGGAGGCTAATGGAAGTAAAACTTTCCAAGCACTGAATGGCTCAGTGATCTGAAAACCCAGTTGAATGTGATTGTGGGCGGAGTTTGTTTGCGAAGCTAGATATTTTTCTTAGTGCTGTTTTCTCGAATCAATTTTGTCGCTTGAAGGAGACGCTTTAAGGAGATATAACTCAAAGGGAATTTGTTCGGTTGCCCTCAAATTTGGACAGAAGCTAGTTTAACTCAAAAACAACACAAACCTGTCTTCGAATTGTTTATTTTGATATTTTTTTTCTCTGAGAGTGATTTTTGTACGATCACTCCAAATTTGTTTACTTCTATTTCGAAAATTTTCAGTAACTTTTCATCACAAAGGCAGATTTGCACGTTGTCGTCATTTGACTACAACTACCAGAATTCCATTCGTTTTTTCTTTGTTAAATTTTGAATTCCCAGTGGGGTTTAAATAACAATTGCCCTAATTAGCATAAGAAGCAGAAAAAGTGAAGGATTCTGGTGGTAGTTGTAGTCAAATGACGCCATCATGCAAATCGCCTATTGAATATGGCAAAACACAGACACTTTTTTTTTTTCGCGCTTTGGGTCCGGAAACTGAGGAACGAACTAAATTGGCGACAAACAAAATTTGCTTTGACTTACAGCTTTCAAACGGTGATTCGGGCGCTCGTATTTACTGGTCGTGAAAAAAATTTGACCATTTATTTCATTCCAAAATTCTTGGTAAAGTCTGACAGCCAGTTCTATAAGCTTTAATTTGGTATATGGGTTTAATTAGGTATCTACAGCTTAAACCGGACGCGCTACATCGCTTGGACGAGGGACACCTCTGAAGCTAGATGGTATTCTTAATTCAAATCCTAGAACACATATACAGTTGTAAACCTTTCTTTTATCAGAGTAACCTAATAGCAGGTTGGCAGAAACGTGGCTATTCAACTAAGACTTTTATGATTGCTCTTACTCAATTTCTTTCTGGAAAGATTTTAAATTACATCACTTATCTTTGACAAAACAGCAGATACACCTTAGTTTGAAGGATATTCTAATTAAAGAACTTCCAAATATAGAAAGTTCAACTTAAAGTTGAATTGAAGCTTGAGACAGAAGAGTACATCTGTACAAAAAATAATACCTTAGGTATATTTAAGAAGAAATGGGCAACGTAACTACTTAGAAGTTTTTGAGTGAATAAGATGTCAGGCTCGTGCGCGAGTGTGTGTATATGGGGGAGAGTTAGGGTGTAAACTGAAGAAATGTAAGTAATTTTACTTAGGTATAATAAAGTATTGTCAGTAATGTAAGTATGTGAGTAAGTGAGTTAAGGCGTAAACTGAAGTAATGTAAGTAATTTTATTTAGGTATAGTAAAGTATCGTGAGTAATGTAAGTATATGAGTGAGTGAGTTAAGGCGTGAACTGAAGTAATGTAAGTAATGTTAGTTATTTGTAGTAGATTACTGCTAGTGATGTAACTAATTTGTACTGAAAGTAATGTAAGTAATTATCTGTTTTTCAAAAAAAAAAAAGTTTAAGAGATGAGTGCAACTATATCTTAACTGACGTAATGTGTAAGGAATTATCACCATGTTTGGGCACTATCAAAAATTCTTGACTAAGTCTTGGCTAAATAGGTTGAATTGCTCCGAATAGTTCATTTGCTTAATTGTGTCTTGCAGAAAACGTTCCACTACGATTCATCTTACTGGACCGACCTGAAATCATATGGAGTCCATGAGGGGAAAACTGGTTTGGACGGGATGGAGGCCAAGCTACCATCCTACTGGGCCACACCCTTTACCAAGATCTGCCTTGGGATGACGATTGGGGTAGAAACCAGATTCTATCTTCTGGACAAGGAGGCTAGCTCGCTCTACTCCCTGATTCAGGATGGTAAACACCGTCCTACCAACCTGGGTCGCGACGAATGGAAGAAGTTGATCGGTTCTCAAGCCTCCCTGCAGCAAAACTGCGAAAAAGAAGGTTTCAATGTTCTGAGTGACAATGCCGGTTCATCCAAGGCACGGATAGGCATTGTGGGCAACAATGAAGATGATTGCATCACCAGCGACTCCAGAATCGGGTTTGGTACTGGAGGATATCCAGACGACACCAACACGTGTGGGAACGTGGCTCAGCACGGAGGAGATAGTGGAGACGAATTCATCAAGGCCATTGGATACATCTTCGTTCAGTGAACAAAACTGAACTGTTCACATCAGAAAATAAGAGGGGCAAAGCTTAACATCAAATGATGTTCAAAGTTAAGGTTCCAAAACCATAACTTGTATAAAAATGGCAACTAGAATAGGGGTTACTGCATCGCTGGTATGTATCAAATAAAATGGGTTAAAAGAATCCAGTATCACGTTTCCTTTGATCTTGTGCTTCACACGAACCCTTTCTTTTGACAGAGCTAGAATTGGACTTAGTATCGTTATTTGGGAACGGACGGAAGTGAAATCCACCAAAGTGTGATTTTGAAAAAAAACATTCCAAAAATTTTATTCGACACATGCTAATAATTTTTTTTCGCTCATTCCACACACATTTTAGTAAAATATTGATCTAACAGTGCCTAAGAATTGACTTGGATCACTGACACTTTCTTCAAGAAAGTTCTCAAAAACGCTACGTAGATGCTCAGCATCTACTACAGTTCGCTCGTAGTTAATTTCGAGTTCCCTTTAAAGAAAACGTAAATTTAGGAAGCGCTGCTTAGACTCCAAAATTAATTGTGGTGAAGACAATCCCGTAAAAGTAATCACATTAAATGATGATGTGTACAACATGGTGACCGATGAGCATGTAAAAAAGCGCGAATATTATATTTCCGGGATGTGCGAATTTTTAAACCGCGTAGTTTTTCCACTAAGTTTTTTCGTTTCCAAGGTGCCAAGGTTACTTTGAGACATTTTTAATGATACCATGAAAAAANGTTATTTCATAACACACGTGCCCTAGGTCATTTGACTTGTTGGGTGGTAAAAAAAACTTCAACGCTCAATATTTCTGAAAGTGTAACTATAGTTATTTTACTACCCTCTAAAACTTCAACGATCTGTTATTTCACTGCGGGCTTGCTATTGGTTGATTGAATGTAACAAAGTAAAGAACCAATCATGAGCTTGGAGCTGATTGACTTATCAATTCTCCACGCAAAAGAAAGAAAACCTCTCAGGTTTGTGTGAGGAGAAAATGGTTTTAATGTAAAGCAGTGATGGAAGGGTTTATAAACCACGGACTCTTCAGTTTTTGTTCAAAGTCCTACCTATAACGTTCGGTTCCAAGACTAAACAATGGTAGCGTTGAAGTTCCTTGCGGTTTTTTTGCCTGGTGTATTTCACCGTTTTCGTAAATGCTGGTAGAAACCCAAAGTGTTGCGAGAGTGTCCTACAAAAGTTAAAGACGATGGAATGCCCAAGTCATGGTACATTAAGAAATGTCTCCTACCTTGCCAACGCATCGAACGGTTTAAATCTGCCGTTTTGCGTCATTCTTATTCTCTAAATAGTGAACAGTGACTTACGTAGCTGTGTTTTTTATGATCTCAGTACACCTCATAAGAAATTACTAAACAATTTTACTGTCTTCTATTTACGTAGAGTCGCACACCTGTGAACACCATGGTCCAAGTTCATGCAAAGAGATCTTTGATAAAGATAAGTAAGTTATAGAGAAATTATGCACAAACTACGATCTGAAGCTGGCTGGCAACTGGTTGTAGCATTTTTTCAGCACCTCTTACTTTGATAGACCAGTATTACAGTTGTTGCAGTTGCAGTTAACGCTACAATAATGAAACCAAACAAATAACCAAACATCGGTGCACAAGGTATAATACCGGTTAAAAAAAAACCTTTAATTATATTGGAGAGCGGCTGTTTATAAATATGGAGAATCCGGCGACAGTACAGAAAATTCGAATTTTCTTTTATTTCTACAAAAAGACTTTTATATCACGGCATGTGTTTTATCAAAAAACAGGGCCATCTATCAAGGATGTTCTCAAGCACGAGCTTTGCTTGAAACCTATTTTAATTGACAACAACTTTTTTTGGTTGCTCAATCTGACAACAGGTAGCTGGTACAACCTTCACCAACGGAAAATCACGTGTGAACAATGCCTTGACATAAATTACATTATGTCTAGTCATAATGTCTGCTCTTTTGGTCTTAAAGGTACAGTGAGTATAATTTTTTTGTGAAATCTAGAGCAATCCGAAATACCGGTCGATCAACCAAGGTGGCGATGGAATTTACAGAAAATAAAATAAAGTATTTTTAACAGTCTAATACACAAAGATGGAAACTTGTCGCGATGCAATGCACCCTTGGATCTTTTTTTCTAAATTAAAAATCAGGTTGAAGTAATAACGTTTTGTTTATTTTTAAACCATTTGAAAATTTCATCTACATGCATATATACATAAACTTTATTTCTATTCAAACTGATTTGACAAGGCCATGACTTCTCTGGTAAATCAATATATCGATAAATAGGAGGTTCTAAAATGGAGAGCTATTCTATAAGTTAACCGAGAAGAGCATTTTGACGATTTTTAGACGACTTAGCGATAATTCGATTATGTAATACACTTTATTAACATAATTAATCTTGTGGTATCAGAAATTGTTCTTAGGTAATAAAACTGGAGGTTAAAAAATTTTAAAAAAAGGCGTGAGGCACCGAACTCGTTTTTTAGTTAGAAGCACTTAAAGAAAAATTATGGGTTTTTTTAAACTAGTTATTCTGTTACTATGGTAATAATGATAACAATTCATTTACATGGCGCACAGAGCCATTATTTGCCCGAGGCGCTTTTAAAAAAACTATCCCTAAAAACTACAATTTTACTCTAAAAAAACTAAAAAACTAAAAAAAAAATAGGAAAATACCAAATACCTATGATAAAGAGTTATTCTTAATAAATTTAGTAAAAAAGGAAGGTCTTGAGTTATTTGGTATCAACTTTCAAAAACCGTAGCAATGATTCATCAAAGAACTGAAATATGCTAAAACACGTTGCGAGCCAGTTTGTATTTCATTCATTTGGCTATAATTATAAAAACTGAAACATTTTTTGATTCGCTTTGATTTTCAAGGCCAACCGAAAACAAGGCATACATGCTCGAGTTTGGTTACAAGAAGCTTCCTGTCTACTGCTACATGGATGGTGATGACCTTGGTGATTGTGGAGGCGGAGGATGGACGCTGGTCATGAAAATTGACGGCTCAAAGGTACGTTTTAAGAACTTATATCACAAACAGACCTCAAAACAATCACATTTTTAAGCTAAGAAGTTAACTAAAAGCACTATTTGACCTGGGAATTTTGTTACGCTAGTTTATACTTTCAGATTGGCAGTTTTCTTTACATTTGGATTTTTGAATCAAAGTAATGGTCGAAGTGTGATCTCTACTTTTTAAAAAATATACATATATTGAAAAATACTAAAAATTGGCAGAGTTTCCCTTTTGATTGACAGCCTATGACAGGTATGCAATCAAAAGAGACAAATTTTACGGGAATTACACGGATGTCGAGAGTTGGCTACTCAGTTGATCAGCATTGTTCTTCTGACTACTGTACCAAGCATGTTTCTTATTAGGTGTTATTCGTTCAAGTTATAAGAAAACATGGACCACGTAAATGTCAGTGGACCAGTTCAATGAGTGAAGAAGCGAAAGTTGGCCTTGCGGCGTTAGATTAAGGATCGTACTATCAAAAGTGGTCTGACAATACTGACTCCGAGTTAGATGAAGCGAAAGCTATTGGATCAAGCGGACAAAAACAATCGAGTCAAGAGGAGAGAAAAGTTCCGTGAAAATTTGGGTTTTAATTTGATGACGAGAGCATCGACTGGTTGACAGCGCTGAGTCCGATACCGACGAATCATCGGAACCATTCACTGAAATAATTGAATACAATTGCTCCGCCGTGCTTTCCTTTGTTTGTTTTCTTCGCACAGCCACCTTAATTCGCATCCTTTTTTGTCTCTTCCCCAAATTGCTAAACCGCTTAGGGAATAATGCAAATCACGAGGGTTTTTTAGATATTCGTACTAAAATTTCACCAGGAGGCTAATGGAAGTAAAACTTTCCAAGCACTGAATGGCTCAGTGATCTGAAAACCCAGTTGAATGTGATTGTGGGCGGAGTTTGTTTGCGAAGCTAGATATTTTTCTTAGTGCTGTTTTCTCGAATCAATTTTGTCGCTTGAAGGAGACGCTTTAAGGAGATATAACTCAAAGGGAATTTGTTCGGTTGCCCTCAAATTTGGACAGAAGCTAGTTTAACTCAAAAACAACACAAACCTGTCTTCGAATTGTTTATTTTGATATTTTTTTTCTCTGAGAGTGATTTTTGTACGATCACTCCAAATTTGTTTACTTCTATTTCGAAAATTTTCAGTAACTTTTCATCACAAAGGCAGATTTGCACGTTGTCGTCATTTGACTACAACTACCAGAATTCCATTCGTTTTTTCTTTGTTAAATTTTGAATTCCCAGTGGGGTTTAAATAACAATTGCCCTAATTAGCATAAGAAGCAGAAAAAGTGAAGGATTCTGGTGGTAGTTGTAGTCAAATGACGCCATCATGCAAATCGCCTATTGAATATGGCAAAACACAGACACTTTTTTTTTTTCGCGCTTTGGGTCCGGAAACTGAGGAACGAACTAAATTGGCGACAAACAAAATTTGCTTTGACTTACAGCTTTCAAACGGTGATTCGGGCGCTCGTATTTACTGGTCGTGAAAAAAATTTGACCATTTATTTCATTCCAAAATTCTTGGTAAAGTCTGACAGCCAGTTCTATAAGCTTTAATTTGGTATATGGGTTTAATTAGGTATCTACAGCTTAAACCGGACGCGCTACATCGCTTGGACGAGGGACACCTCTGAAGCTAGATGGTATTCTTAATTCAAATCCTAGAACACATATACAGTTGTAAACCTTTCTTTTATCAGAGTAACCTAATAGCAGGTTGGCAGAAACGTGGCTATTCAACTAAGACTTTTATGATTGCTCTTACTCAATTTCTTTCTGGAAAGATTTTAAATTACATCACTTATCTTTGACAAAACAGCAGATACACCTTAGTTTGAAGGATATTCTAATTAAAGAACTTCCAAATATAGAAAGTTCAACTTAAAGTTGAATTGAAGCTTGAGACAGAAGAGTACATCTGTACAAAAAATAATACCTTAGGTATATTTAAGAAGAAATGGGCAACGTAACTACTTAGAAGTTTTTGAGTGAATAAGATGTCAGGCTCGTGCGCGAGTGTGTGTATATGGGGGAGAGTTAGGGTGTAAACTGAAGAAATGTAAGTAATTTTACTTAGGTATAATAAAGTATTGTCAGTAATGTAAGTATGTGAGTAAGTGAGTTAAGGCGTAAACTGAAGTAATGTAAGTAATTTTATTTAGGTATAGTAAAGTATCGTGAGTAATGTAAGTATATGAGTGAGTGAGTTAAGGCGTGAACTGAAGTAATGTAAGTAATGTTAGTTATTTGTAGTAGATTACTGCTAGTGATGTAACTAATTTGTACTGAAAGTAATGTAAGTAATTATCTGTTTTTCAAAAAAAAAAAAGTTTAAGAGATGAGTGCAACTATATCTTAACTGACGTAATGTGTAAGGAATTATCACCATGTTTGGGCACTATCAAAAATTCTTGACTAAGTCTTGGCTAAATAGGTTGAATTGCTCCGAATAGTTCATTTGCTTAATTGTGTCTTGCAGAAAACGTTCCACTACGATTCATCTTACTGGACCGACCTGAAATCATATGGAGTCCATGAGGGGAAAACTGGTTTGGACGGGATGGAGGCCAAGCTACCATCCTACTGGGCCACACCCTTTACCAAGATCTGCCTTGGGATGACGATTGGGGTAGAAACCAGATTCTATCTTCTGGACAAGGAGGCTAGCTCGCTCTACTCCCTGATTCAGGATGGTAAACACCGTCCTACCAACCTGGGTCGCGACGAATGGAAGAAGTTGATCGGTTCTCAAGCCTCCCTGCAGCAAAACTGCGAAAAAGAAGGTTTCAATGTTCTGAGTGACAATGCCGGTTCATCCAAGGCACGGATAGGCATTGTGGGCAACAATGAAGATGATTGCATCACCAGCGACTCCAGAATCGGGTTTGGTACTGGAGGATATCCAGACGACACCAACACGTGTGGGAACGTGGCTCAGCACGGAGGAGATAGTGGAGACGAATTCATCAAGGCCATTGGATACATCTTCGTTCAGTGAACAAAACTGAACTGTTCACATCAGAAAATAAGAGGGGCAAAGCTTAACATCAAATGATGTTCAAAGTTAAGGTTCCAAAACCATAACTTGTATAAAAATGGCAACTAGAATAGGGGTTACTGCATCGCTGGTATGTATCAAATAAAATGGGTTAAAAGAATCCAGTATCACGTTTCCTTTGATCTTGTGCTTCACACGAACCCTTTCTTTTGACAGAGCTAGAATTGGACTTAGTATCGTTATTTGGGAACGGACGGAAGTGAAATCCACCAAAGTGTGATTTTGAAAAAAAACATTCCAAAAATTTTATTCGACACATGCTAATAATTTTTTTTCGCTCATTCCACACACATTTTAGTAAAATATTGATCTAACAGTGCCTAAGAATTGACTTGGATCACTGACACTTTCTTCAAGAAAGTTCTCAAAAACGCTACGTAGATGCTCAGCATCTACTACAGTTCGCTCGTAGTTAATTTCGAGTTCCCTTTAAAGAAAACGTAAATTTAGGAAGCGCTGCTTAGACTCCAAAATTAATTGTGGTGAAGACAATCCCGTAAAAGTAATCACATTAAATGATGATGTGTACAACATGGTGACCGATGAGCATGTAAAAAAGCGCGAATATTATATTTCCGGGATGTGCGAATTTTTAAACCGCGTAGTTTTTCCACTAAGTTTTTTCGTTTCCAAGGTGCCAAGGTTACTTTGAGACATTTTTAATGATACCATGAAAAAAAAACCCAAATCTTTTGCTCTCTAATAGCTTAGCAACCAGAACGAGAGGCGACACCTTTTCTTCCATTTCTTTGCTTTCCGCGTGTCAAACAACGTAAAATGACCAGATTCCGCAGTTGCTTCGTTTTTAATGCAACCAGACACCTTTACTTTTTTCCAAAACACTGCGAGCCACAATCTAGAATTGAACTCGGAACCCTTTGGCGACGAAACATCTTTCCGTCGTCGCCACTGCTTATATGATTGCGTTGAAATGGCTTTAATATGGCTTGAAGAAAAGTGCCTTTTTTAAAGGCATATGTCTAACACCTCACCCTGTCACTATCCCCAACCTAAACGTTATCTAACTTGGACCCCGTAATTCCTTTTATGACATGGCTATGTTAATTCACATGATTATAACTTAAGTGAATCAATCAGGTTGTTATATGGCCGGTCGACATATTTTGAATTATTTTCTATGTTTTCAAGGTTTTCCTGTAGCTTTATGGCACACAGATAATTTTTTCCGCAATTGAACATATGAAAGATCTTAAAATTTGTATGGTAGAAAAAGATTTAAATAAGTTAAAAATGTGATGATTATCAGCAACACAACTTAAGCCCTTGCGAGAAAAGCGCTTGAAAAAAATTCAGGCTTGAACGGGATTCGAGCCAATAATCTCTGTGAATACCGGTGCAGTGCTCTATCAACTGAGCTATCAAGACTTGGGAAATGTTAATGTGTTAGGAAGTGCCACTCGGTGCTCCGTTCCTAAACTCGATCTGAAACTCTGGCGAGCATGAGCAAAAATAATTTACGGTCACGGAAGGGAACAGCCAATTTCCAAGGCGAAATGTCCACTGATGGTAATTTTGACGAATTAACTGGTCAAGAGTTTGGTGGAGAAAATCGAGAAGCTTGACTCAGAGAGCCAAACGCCGCCATGATGTCTTTTTAGGCGTTAAACTCCATAACAGCTAACCTGTCGGGTGAGATTAATGACTTAAAGCAAGGACTTCAATTTACACTGGTAAGGATTCCTTGAGTAATAAAGCGGACAGAGCTCGGGTTGCCAAGCTGGATGACCTTGAGAACCGGTTAAGAAAAGCAACATTGTTATATGGATCATTTTTGAAGACACCGAGAAAGATTCTTCCAGTAAAGCGATCATCAGCAACCTTTTGAGTCCTCACATGTAGTTGGACGGTGACCTGTAAATAATGCGCGTTAATTGAACAAGAAAGAAAAAGCAATCATGAACCGGTAAAGATAAGCACCCAGCGCACATTTCAAATGCAAGTGGCTTCCCTTGTTGATGTTTTTTAACAGATGGGATATCCTTTCAAAGAATCTAGTTAAGATTTACTGGTTTTAGCGGAGTTCCGGCAACCCGCTAAACAATAACACTTGTAAACTGAATTGTAAACAAATAGTTTTGTATCGATTTTCGCCGATAACCTCATGTCTAAAAATAATAAAGCGTATTTGCTAACAAGCTTACTACCAAGGAAAGTTTTGAAGTTTTCTTTTTATTAGTGGGCACAGCCGCTTCGTACACTGCTAAAATTTCTTCTTCTGTTGCGGCTGGAAACCAAGATAGAATCTACTTTTTGACCTTCGCAAGTGGTGATTTGCATATTGTTTACAACGTATGGAGATTTCCTCGTTTCGTTTGTTTAATTTATTCGGTTTGGTGAAATACTTATGGTGAATTTCTTTAAATGTTATTGGCAAAAGACTTGTAAAACTACGGACGATCAAATGACTGCAAAACCGTCGGATAATATTCAAATATTCGAATTACAAATTAATATTCAAATTACACTTTACCTGCTCAACACCCCACGTCTTTGAATAGATGGACTTTAGCTTCTAAATGCATTTCTTGGATTTACCTTGGAAAACATTTCTTCAATTCGGCCATCCTTCGTTGAGGCAGGATTTGCTATTTGATACTCGGATGTAAAGATATGCGTATTGTGTTCATATAGATTACTTCGTTTTGTTCAATTTATTCTATTCGGTTTTGTGAAACGCTTATTGATGAATTTCTTTAAAGGTTATTGTGTCGAGTAAATGATAAGTATTTTATGGGAGTTCCGCTTTTAAGCTTGGCTAAACCCATGTATCAAATAAGCTAAATACGAAAGACATTGATGACCGAGTAGTAAATACCGTGTGATTGTCAAAAAAAAAGAAAAATGTTTTGCTACCTGTGAGTTTCGAAACACTCTTAACTCCCGCATTACTCCCACTGCATC